CCTTCTAACATGACCAAAGTAGGTCAAACGAAGTCTGGCCATTCTCGCTTCCAAAGAGCATTCCAGCTGCACTTCTTCCAAGGCAGATTTGTTAGTTCTTTTGGCAGTCCATGGTACTTTCAGCATTCTTCACCAGCACCACAACTTGAAAGCATCAACTCTTCTTCAGTCTTCCTTATTTGTTGTCCAGCTCTCACATGCATATGAGGCAAATGAAAATACCATGGCTTGGGTTAGGCACACCTTAGTCTTCAAAGAGACATCTTTGCTCTAGGCTCTGTACTATACACCCAACTACTGGTCAGCACCATATAGGCCTGGTCTTATACTACCCATGCATTCCTGTGGTCAGCCTCGTTTTACTTAATGGGGAAACACTGGGAAAGCAAAGCAGGTTCCCAAAATCTGAACCGAGCACTTACCCCCAACTCCAGAACTCTCCTCTGCAGTCATTTCCCTCTTGTCCAAGTCCTCAAAGTTAGTGGCAAACTCTGACCCTTTTCATGGAAAAAGGAAGCCACACTCATTGGAGCACAGCTCTCTTTAAAACTGAAGCAGGTGATGACTCCAATTGGAGCTGCTATTTTAGATGCAGATTCATTGCTTGAGCACATTAATAGATCTCCTGGTACCTGGTATAAAGCTACCGATCTTTTTCTAAATTCCATTTTCATAGAATTATCAGAAGCAGTTTGCCTTGAACTGGCAATGCTGGCAGTACACTTTCACCATCCTATCTCAGAGCATATCAACTCTCCAACACTATGTCATAATTTAGCCTGTAGGGACCTAGATCCCCTTTCCCTTCCACAAGACGTTACATTGCTTCATTACATTGATGCCATTATTCTGATAGGACCTGAAAAGTGCCTAAGGTATTTGACTGCTAACCAGAAGGCTGGTGGTCCAAACCTACTAGCAACTCCTCGGAAGGAAGGTTGGGCAATCTACCTCCATAGTGATATCGTCTCTATGATATCTCTATGAAACACAAGGAGGGGTCGCTATGAGTCAGATACAACTCGACGGCAGTGAGTTTGGTTTGGTTTGGTTTAGACTTATTGGTAAGACATTTGCATGCTATTGTTGTTATGTTCTGTCAAATTGGCTCTGACTCATAACGACCCCATGTACAACAGACCCTATGAAATACTGCCTGGTCAAGCACTCTCCTCACAATCCTTGTTATATCTGAGCTCATCATTGAAACCACTGTGTCAATCCATCCCATAGAGGGTCATCCCTTTTTTACTGACCATCCACTTTACCAAGCATGATATCCTTCTCCAGCAAATGGTCCCTCTGACAACATGACCAAAGTAGGTGAGGCAAAGTCTGGCCATTGTCACTTCTAAGGAGCATTCTGGCTGCACTTCTTCCAGGACAGATTTGTTCATTCTTCTGGCAGTCTATGGAACTTTCAGTATTCTTCTCCAACACCACAACTCAAAAGCATCAATTCTTCTTCAGGCTTTGTTATTATTCAGCTTTCACATGTATATGAGGCCACTGAAA